GCATGCGCATGCGTGCATGACGGGCGCCATTTTGTATTGCAAAATGGTGCCTGGAGTCGTGCGCATGCGCACGCAATGCTAGATGCATGCACATGACTCTGGGCACCATTTTGGAAAACAAAATGGCGTCCCGCATTGCGCGCACATGCACACTACTCTGGCGCCGTTTTGTCTTCCAAAATGGAGATTGGCGACATGTGCGAGCAGCGGCAGGGCCGGCTGTGGGCCAGTAAGAAGGCCTCGACGGGCCGGGTCCAGCCAGCGGGCTGTAGTTGGGGGACCCCTGCTGTAAAACAAGGTTGGAGTTCTTTTCCAAGCTGAGGAACTGAAATTTAACTTGGAGTAGGCCCAGAGACCCACATTCCAGCTGTGGGTATGGCTAAGGCCATAGGGCAGGGCCAAAGCAAAGTGGATCAGACCACATTAGAACTCAGGCTAAGTGGACTGAACAAGTTCATGCAAGAGCGAAAATCAAAGTATGGACCATCTGGAAATAGAGTCATGGCCTTATTGCATTGCAAACAAAAGACGAGAGGCAGTAAGATAGAAGAGGCTTTTCTGCTTACCTTCCTACATGCCCACAAAGCACTTCTATTCCATTGCTGAGGGAGATGATCATAAAACCATGCCTTTTGTCCTGCTGGAAAAAGTCCCTTTGGCAAAAGCCACACTTTTACGACTGGCTCCCTCTGGAGGGAGAACGGACTACTACGACATCATGCAGGAAGGTAAGCAGAAAGCTGCTTTTATCTCACTTGCCTCTTATCTTTCTTTTCTAATACAGTAAGGTCCTCAGAGTCCTACAAGAGAGTAGGAAAGTGTGACATGAAACCATGATCTGAAACACTTCAGATTTTAAGTAACCAGAGCTCAGCCAAAAAGGAAACGAGACAGGTAAGGGGAAACCAGAAGTAGCGGCAGGCAGGTGAGGCGTCTATTACAGCAGAGATGAAAGGGTCTAGCAAAGGAATATAACCAGTGATAGGTATTTGTTACAATAACTTTGCCTGCCCAGAAATAAAGCTTATAACTCTGAGCCTCAAGAACCAGCAGGGACTCTATCAAAAGTCACCCTGCTACCCCTGAGGAGTCCTTTCATGCAAGGAAGTTCATTGGATAACCAGCTTTGCCAGTGCCTTTAATGTCTGGCACTCTCACGGGTTGGAAGGAGGCCTTCCCTCATCCCGAGTCAGGGGCAAAGCCACCCCAGACTCTAAAGAGAGAGCCTCTGTCGGGTAAGGCTCCTTCAGCTCTTTTCCCAGGGTGGCAGTGCCATGTTCTAGCAGGTACTCATGCCTCTTGCTCCCCATTCCACTAGCTCAACAAGTTGCCTATGGCCCTTTTCTTCTTTAGCCAGCAATTACCCTTTTCTGCTTTTGAGTTTCCTTGAAATTTGCCTGGCTGGACAAGAGCATTCTTGCAAGGGAGCTAAAGGAGTACACATGTCCAAGCTCAGTAGGAACAACATTACTATGGACTACAACTTTTAGAACCTCTCAGCCAGTATGGCCATTGTGAGAATCTGGGAGCTGTAGTCCAACACAGTATCTCTTCTGAGCTCTGGCAATGTGTTCCAGCTAAGGCTCCTTCAGCACTGAAGAAACAATGCAGTTTGACACCGCTTTAATTACCATGGCATAATGCTATGGAATTCTGGGATTTGTAGTTTTGTGAGATATTTAGCCTTCTTTGCCAGAGAGCTCTGGTGCCACAACAAATGACAAATCCCAGGATTCCACAGCATTGAGCCATGGCAGTTAATGCGGTATCAAACCACATTATTTCTGCAGTGCAGATGCAGCCTTAGAAGGCTCTGAAAAGTTCTTTCACAAACATGCGGCAAGGGAAGGCATTTGTTGATGCTGTTTCAAATCCTGTAGAAGATGCCAACTGGCTGGCCATCTACCAAAGAAGGTCGATGGACTGATGGATAGTTAGCTTCCATCACTGGGGAACACGCTCCACACATCTCTGCACTCCCTCTCAGTTCCTAGCTACACAAACAATTGTTACCTATAATTGCCTGACAAAACAGCAGCTGTTTCTCATTTTTCCCCCAAGGTAAAAGCTGCCTTCTCCAGTTATTATACAAGAAAATAAGATCCCCCTCCTCAAATTCACCTCCCCTCTCACTTCAGTGGCATGTCTCTTTATTGGATGCAACAACAACAAAACCTCTGACTTTGTACTTGGAGTGCTTGCAATTTCCTTCCTTCCTTCCTTCTTTCCAAGTCCTAAATTGTATTCTGACCTGGGGATGGGGATGGAGAGCACGTGGTAGACTACAATTTCTGAATGCAAGGGGCAGAGTTGCTGAAATCCTTTTTCATGAACAAGAATTCCTTCTGCAGGAAAAACCTGAACATTTCACTCATCCTCCTCACAGCCTACACAGTAATCAATATCCTGCGAAGAAACTTTGTCTCAGCTTTCCAACAAATCTTGAGACTTAATTCTTAGACTTTTCAAATTCAAACCAGAAGTGAACTGAAAATTCCAAAGCTAGAGAAAGGCAAACTTTCCAAATACCGGTAATAAACAGTTGCTCTTGTCTGGACAAAACGACGTAAGCACTTTTAAGTCCTACTGCTGTCAGGGGGGAAGAGATTTAGGCTGCATCTCCACTGCAGAATTAATGCAGTCTGACACTGCTTTAACAATCATGGCTCAATGCTATGGAATCCTAGGATTTGTAATTTGTTCTGGCACCAGAGTTCTCTGAGAGAGAACTCACAAAACTCACTAAATAGCTCACTCACTAAATAGCTCACAAAACTACAAATCCCAGAATTCCAGAGCACTGAGCCAAGGTTGTCAAAGCCCTGTCAAACTGCATTAATTCTGCCATGCAGATGCAGCCAGAGAAACACGCTTAATGTTTGCCCACTCAAATCAAGAGGACCTCATTTTCTCCAGATAAGACCGAAAGGAGCCACGTGAAGCCATTTAGAGAGCAATCCTATGCATAGGTTTTTGCGGGTTTTTCGGGCTGTGAGGCCATGTTCTAGAATAGACTTGCACCACTCGGCAATAGGAAGGGGCTAAAATTAAAATAAGCTAAACTTCTTTGGGCTGCAGATAGGTTTTAATTTAATTATTTAATTAATAATTAATAATATTATTATTAATATTAATTCCCCCTCCCTCCTCCTCCTCCTCTGCCTGGCCCTCTCCTCAGGAGAAAGCTGAGTGGTGGAGGAACCATGTAGGGCAAGCGTTTGCTCCTCTTCCTCCTCCACTGCCCTCCGGAGAAAGTCAGGCAGAGGAGGAGTCTTGCAGGGTGACCGTTTACCTGTCCTCCTCCGCCTCCACCTGACCTTCTTTTCAGGGAGAAAGCTAAGCAGTGGGGGAGCCTTGCAGGGTGAGTGTTCACCCGTCTTCCTCTACCACCACCGCCACTAGGCCTTTTCCTCAGGAGAAAGCCAGATGGCGGAGGAGACATGCAGGGCAAGCATTTGCCCATTCTCCTTCTCCGCCGCCTGGCCTTCTCCTCCTTGGGAGGAAGCTGGACAGTGGAGGAGCCTTGAGGGGTGAGCCTTTGCCCATCCTCCTCTTCCTCCTCCGCCATGCCTTCTCCTCAGGAGAAAGCTGAGCAACAGAGGAGCTTTGTAGAGCAAGCATCCGCCCTTCTTCTTCCTCCTCCTCCTCCACATGGCCCTCTCCTTAGGAGAAGGCTGTGCAGCAGAAGAGCCTTTAAGTTGTTCCACATATTCATGGGCCACCCAAAATCCTTTGGCGGGCCACATGCGGCCCCCAGGCCATATGATGCGCAGGCCTGTTCTACAAGAATGTATTCCTGATGTTTCACTTGCATCTGTGGCTGGCATCTTCAGAGGAGATGCAGGCAAAACATCAGGAATACATTCTTCTAGAACACAGCCTCACAGCCCGAAAAACTCACAAAAACCTATGGATGCCGGCCATGAAAGCCTTCAACTTCACAAATCTTATGCATGTTTGCTCGGAACCATTGAACTTGACAGGTGTGTACAGCAAAGGGGGGGAGAAATCAAGCAATCCTCCCCATGTTGGACTGCAGCTCCCAGCATTCCTCGTCCCTGACTAGGCTAGCCTGGCTTTGTGAGAGCTGCACTCAGACAACATCTAGAAAGCCAAATGAATCCCACCACTGGCGTACACATTTGCAACCTATACATTTTCAGCAATATTTAAAAAATACAACATTAACATCCTCTGCAGATTGATGTCGCTTTCTTACGTTGGGAATGTGAAATATACCAAATAGAACTTGGTTAGACATAACATTATTATAAACTACAGTGTACTAAGAAAATAATTATAAATTGAATTTACAGTTGCCCTCCCCCCCATATGCATGCATTCTGCATTCATGGATTTCAACCATGCTTGAAAATATCCCCCACCCAACCAAAAATAAATAAATAAATGTCCCAAAAAAACAAACTTTGATTTTACCATTTTATATAAGGGACATCATTTTACCATCCTATTATATATAATGGAATCTGAGCATCCATGGATTTTGATATCCAAGGGTGGTGAGGGTAGTGGAAGAACTAAACTCCATCAGACACCAAATATAGCCCACTGTACTTTGTCTTTGGTGCTACAAATAGAACTACAAGGCCCTGAACTGTAAGGAACATCTGAACTATAAGAAATCACTTTGGTTTTGCCAAAGTTTATGATGAGCTAGGAAAAATAAATCCCATATGAAAACAGAAGAAACTATCAACATTAGTAAAACAAAGGAGATTATTTTGTCTCCAGTAGGTCTCCACAGCACAAGACAGACACAAAGCACCCATAACATGAACCAAGCTATGGAAACCAAGACCAGAAAATTGTAATGATGTGATAGTATACATCTGTTGTTGTTGTGTGCCTTCAAGTTGTTTCTAACTTAGGTGACTTCTGTCATGGGGGTTTTCTTGGCATGATTTGTTCAGGGGAGGTTTGAATTGCCTTCCTCTGAAGCTGAGAGCATGTGACTTTCCCAGTGCTACCAGTGGATTTTATGGCTGAGCTGGGAGTCGAACCCTGGTCTCCAGAGTCATAGTCCACCATTCAAATTACTATACCACACTGGCTCATGATACTCTTACATATAAATCTTACACATGTTTTAGAAATGACTTCGAGTTAATAAATACATGAAAACCTTGTCTTAAATATTTATTCTAAAAAGAAAAAAAATTACAAAAGAAAATATTGGCTGATCCATTTTTCTCCAATTTTTCTGGGTTGGGCGAGGCTTTGGAAAAAGTAGGGGGAAATCCCATTATTTCCTGAATATTTCCATTCCTCCCTGAACTTTGTGGCCTCTAAATAACAAAATTTTCTTAAATGCACTCTTAAAAATGAATAAAGAAGGGCAAAGTGTATTTCTCTGACATGTATAAGGTCATGATTTAATGGGGGGGGGGCATAAAATGTGGATCTTCTAATTCTTGATAACCAAATCCTATAAAAAGCAAGCAATGTCATAAACAGCCAGGCTTGCATGGGGGAGCAGGCAATTTAAGATACCCCGAATTATAGACCATGGCATTAGAGAGTAAGCAACCATGCCTTAGAGTAGGTAAAGCAGTGGAATCCTGTTCACTCCCCATACACATCCAAGGTTTATTAACCTAAAACCACCTGTAATCCTCGCTAAATAGGGACAAGGAAGAGAGACAACACACATAATGAGTGATTACGTTGGGCACAATAAATCGCTGGGTATACACAGGATTATGCATATCAACATGCCACACAGTGCCACTGTCCCATCCTTGCTTCTGATGATTTCTCTGGGGATAAAAGGCAATTCTGATTTCCATGCTAAACCCTCCCTCCCCGGCTGTGTGTGTTTCTACTCTGTGTAACTATCTGCACAAAGTTGGTATTGACAAGTGCTGGAGACTAATCTTAGATCAGAGTGTGTTCCACTGTCAAACAGCTCTTATTGTCAGGAGGTTCTTCTTAATGTTGAGGGGGAATCTCTTTTCCTGTAGCTTGCATCCATTGTTCTGGGTCCTATTCTCTGGAGCAACAGAAAACAAGCTTGCTCCATCCTCAATATGACATCCTTTCAAACAGTTAAACAGGGCTATCATACCCCCTCTTAACCATCTCTTCCCCAGACTAAACAGACCCAGCTCCCTAAGTCATTCCTCACAGGGCTTCATGGTTTCCAGACCCTTCACCATTTTAG